TGGTAAACCATTATAGTTTTGGAGAGAGTTTATTACTGATTCTGTAAGTTTACTTTTTTAATGCTGTCTTTTTATTTAAATAAACAAGATTTCTGAGGCGAGTACCAAGACGTTTTTACACATGACTGATTCCTGAACAAATCTTAATTTTTTTTCAAAATGAATTTTATTTTTTTACCTTGAACATATTTTAAAAGATTGTTTGTAGTTCACACTTAGAAAAGTAGTGCTTTCTCTTTAAGAAATCTAATTGTTTGTCTTGCAGAACATATATTTTATTCATAACTTTTTCAGAAAAGGAAACTTACCATAGATTTCATTTCAGTAACTTATTTTTTACTAAAATGATTGTAAACTAAATAATTTATATGGTTATAACGCAAGAGAATGGTTTGGGATTTTAAACCATACAGCAATTCTGTTTTTTCTTGAACGTGTTTAGTTTAATAGAAAAAACAGATGTCGGGCAATAGTTGTTTACACCATTTCCCCCCCCCCCCCCTCTTTTAAATCTCGTCGTTATTTTGGTAACTTTAAGTTAATCTGAGAAGATTCTCTGGCTGATTAACTTAAAGTTACAACAATAAATGCGCCTGATTTGTTTTTAGTTTACCATGATTTCTCACACAATTTGCCAAGTAAGTTTGAAATTGCTTATTTTTTTGTGATACATCTATTCCAAAGAAATGTATAAAAACACTGAGTTTTATTGCATTAAAAAGTGCCGTGCAAGTGACAACTCAATTCAACCTCCAAAACCTTCTAAAGATTAAAAATGATTAAAGTGTAAAAGCGGGTCAAATAAGTTTTTATTTATCACGGTAAAAAGATTTCAATTTTTTTTTTTTAAGTTGTAAAGACTTTTGAATTGTATTTAAATATAAAAATCAAATTTATTTTCAAAAAAGTTTTTTAAGAAACTTGATTTATTTGGAAAAAAAAAATTTTTTTTAATTATTTTTTTTATTTAGGTGCCCATTAAATCTTTCGGTCTTATCACAGAAAAGCATTTAAAAGAACGCTTCTTTCCTTATCGATGCTATATAACTTACCCAGAGGTGGCGTTGAATAACGGATCTCTATTTCTGAGGCTAGCGTACTAACCACTGCACTTCGATTCCTCCTTTTTCATTCTATTCTACGGCTGCATATTTCAATATACACTCCTGTTTGGGAGGAATGAAATGTGCAAATAAAAGGGTTATCAAAAAAATACTTAATTTAAAAAATACAACCATTTATGTTAATTAAAAATCAACCAATAATAAAACTTAAAAAAAAAATAAAATATTTTTATTTATGTGATGATGTTAAATCTTTAAGAGGTTTTGGAGGTTGAGTTGTCACTTGCGCGGCACTTTTTAATGCCGCGCAAGTGACAACTCAACTCAAATATAAGATATATGACAAAGCCAAACCTTGCATTTGGAATTTTCGGTTTGATATCTATCACTTTTTTGACTTGCTTAAACTTTTCTAAAAACATTAAGACACTTTTATACTTGACTTAGTTTGCTACTTCTGTTGTTGTTGGAGATGGTGTTGTTAAAAGATTTATCTGCTGCTCATCATCAAGGTCAAATTTACGTCAAGATTACGTTGTTTCCTAGCCTGATTTGCTTTATTTTTATTGTCACTCGATTTCCATCTTGCTGAGCGAAAACAAATTAGTCTTTTGAAACCCAGAGTGACTATTTGCGTACATGTAAAAACTTCAACAGAGGTTTAAATGCTGAAACTTGAACAGAATGTTTTTCTTGCAGTTTACTAAAACATCCTTTTGACAAACTGCTGAACTTTGTCTTTGCACAAAACTCTTAAAGTAATTTAATATTGTGTCAAATTTTGATTCCCCCATCCTCCTATACAAAGTAACTACGCAACAAACTTAGTCTAATTTTTCGTTATTAAAGCAATAAAACTCAAAAAAAAAAAAAAATTGCTGACGTCAACTTTAATTGACCTCCCCCCTCCTCCGCATCAACAATTGTCAAAAAAACCCTTCAAAGAGCACAGATTACAAAACTTTTATGGGTATAATAAAAAATATACTTTTCACGAATAAATACAATCAAAAGCTGGTGCCACATCATTTTATAACTTTGTGTTGTGATATTATAAACTGTGTTGTGATATTATAACTCTGTGTTGTGATATTATAACTCTTTGTTGTGATATTATATAGCGTTGACTTGTTTTTTATAGCATTATTTGTTTGTTTTGTATGTAACAAAAACAAGAATGTCTTTCATGGTTAAAGATTATCCAAATTTAATAGTTACCTATTTTTGGACCATAATTTTTCGTGTAAATATTTATTTATAAAATTTATATTGAATTCATGACCATTCTTATACGACAAAAAATTGTTATAAAAAATCACTACCAAATTTAAATTAGGAAAACTCCCTGTAAAGAAATTTAAAAAAATTTAATTTTAGAGTAAAGATTTAAATAGATTTTTTAAAACTACTTACATTTAATACAAAAATTTGCTGCAAGAGCGGGTCTGACTATGTTTACAATGCGTTTGTGCACCTTACCTAAAAGAAAAAGGGCATTGAGATTTATTGAGATAAAGAATAGATTCCTAAATAAGAAAGTGGCGAGCACGATAAAGAGATGCAACCCTATCAGATGCTTATGTTGCCATGAATTTGATTTGTGGTTTCCAAGAATATCGGAAATAATTTTTTTATCTTAAAGACAGAAACGTATCGATGGGCCCGCAGCCGTAGGAGGGCCCAGACTTATTAGGGGCCCAAGCCAAATTTTTCAAAAACATTTAAAAACATTTTTACTTTTATTGTATATCTAAGAATTAGAAATTCTTAGCTATACAATATGTAACATACTTGTTTCAATTAACTTAAATCAAAATTGTATTTAAAAACAACGCCTTTTGTTTTCATGTATAATTTTTTTTTGTTTTAAGGGGGAGGGGAGAGAGAAATAATTTAGGATTAAAATTTTAAGGGAAGGCCTATTTTTTGTCGCCAAGCCACTGCTTAAAGGCCAAACGAAGATGTACAATGCCGTTCATAATTTTAGGAAGATCTTGATTGTTGTGATAACTGTTAGTTTTATTTGAGTTAAAAATTATCAGCCACGGAAAGGCAGATGGAACTTCTTTATAAAATTAATTATAGATTGGTGCAGGTTAAACATTGTTTCAAAAACGCACAAGAAGAAATAGGACGTGACTATTTATACAAATAAAGACTTTTAAAAGCTTATGTCCTATTAAAAAAATGAAAAATGACAGTACCCCTGCAGTAAAATTGAGGCGGTTTTGCTCTTTTTTTATACTGCCGATATTGCTGGCTTTAATATTTGAATTAGTTTCAGCAATATAAGTAATTCTAAAACCAGCGGAACTATCAGTAAAACAAGTTAGAATATCCGCATCAATTTTAGTGCAAAAGTACAGACATTTTTATATACTTAAATTATTACTTAAAGTTATTATCAAATATATCAATTTTAAATTATTATTATGTTTATAATCTTTGGACGAAATTGTCAACTGTTTTTAACTTATTTAATGTTCTGGCATTTTTACATTTCCAAAAAACCGATGTGTTCTGCCTACATTAGCATTTTAATATATATAAATAAATATAAGAAACTTTAACATTTTTATTTTTAAGTAAAATTTAATTTTTTTTTAAATACTTAATAAAAAAGTTTAATCAAAATAAAACTTAATGTCTGATTTACTATTAAGCAAAAGTTATATGAATTTAACTTTCGAACAAAAAAACTCCAAAAAAAAATTCTGCAAAGTTTCGAATTTTTTTGTTTCGTTGTCAACGAAAATCTTAAAAAAAATGGCGAATACTTTAAATTTCAAAAATAATTGATATTAGCATAAATGTGATTATGTGCAGAATATAATTTTTTTTTTTTTAATATAAAATTTAATTTCATTAACTTTCAATAAACCTGGAAACTCATGAGTTTATCGTAAACATCATATATAATAACGAAGGTTGAATATAATAAAGAAATATTGCAGTAAAAAAAGAAAAAATATTGTCAAAAAATATTTATTATTAATTTAATAAGAAAAAATGTAATTACCGTAAAAGTATATTTAATCTAATTTTAGTATTTTATATAATTAACACTTTTTGATATTAATTATATTTTAATATTTATAGTAACAAAAGTAAAAATATATTAATATTATAATCAAAAGGATCAAAATTCATGATATAATTATGAAAATATAAAAAAAAAGTTTATAAAAAAAAATTATATATTTAAACAAAGATTAATATCAATTATTATTATTTATAGTTTAATGTTATTATTATTATTAAAAATGTTAAAAAAATAATAATTATGAAAAACTATGTACCACAAATATAATTATATATTTAATAGTTTATGTAACTACTATTTTAATTAATATATTTTAAAAAGAACTAATTATAAATATGAATAATATAATAATATAATATTGAACTTTTTTATTCAAATCCAATATATTTAAATTATTTCGTATATTTAAAGCAAATATATTTATAAAAAAATAAATTAAATAATTTAATTTTTTATTATTTTTATTATTTAAAAATAAATTAAATATTTCATTTATTATTTTATAATTATTGTTTTTATTTTATATATTTAAAATAGTAAACATATTTCCGCGTTATAAAGTTAATTCATCGAGGTTACGAAAATATTTTCCACCGTACTCGATCTTAAACTTCTTGATGTTCGAACAACGAATCCATTCACAAATGTCTTTAAAGAAATCAATGTCGTCGTGAAGTCGAAGATCTAATTTTTCACAAAGATTAATCCAAGGAAGAAAGTTTTCTTCAAAATCTTTTTTTGTTATTAAATAATCTGAGATACGTATCCACAACCATTCAATCTTATCTTTCGGTTTCCATCCTTCAAAATTAATTGGAAGATAAAAGCTGACTCTTGCGAACATTAGTTGAACATCGAATTATAAGATTTTTTTCATCACTTAAAATATTTTTATTAACCACCTTAACTTTCTTCCAGATTTTATGTAATTTTATGTTTGGTGGTTGGATTAAACCAAAACAAAAGTTTAATTCGTTCATCAACAATTGAGTTTATTTCATCAGTGAATGACGATTGACTTTCGTAAAAACATTCGTGGAAAAAATTGAAATCATCCTTACTAAAACCAATACTTTTACATAGACGATCTAAAGAAAAATTAAATGTTAAATATAACAATAAACAAATAATAAAATAATAATCAAAATTGTAATATTATACATATAATATTATTATTTTTCTATATACAAATATAATTAATACACTATAATTAAATAAAAAATTGAATACATTTTCATATTATTAATAAATATATTATATTTATATTATAATATAATAAACATAATCACAATAATAATAAATGAAATTATATATAAAACTTAATTAAACTTTAAAAAAAATAACTTCTTAATAAAAATTATAAAAAATATACTAATTTTATTATTTTGAACATAATTTTTATATTAATAAATTTTATTGTAAATGTTGTGTTTATAATTTTTAATAACCAATAATACACATATATAAAATATATTTTTTAGTTAAAATAACATAAAACAGATTAAAAATATGTTTAACTTAGAAAAAATGCTTTATTTATTCATATTGTCATTTGAAATAAATATCATCATTTTTTTATATAAGAAGATAAAAAGGAAAACCTCTTTTATTTATATGCAAATTTGCAAAGAACTCAATTATTTATAAACCGAATTCTTACAGAACTTGTTCAAATTAAAAATTTACATTAAAAATCTCCTTCGACAATCTTTTTTAAAATAAGTTAATTAAATAAATATGAAAAAACGTCAAAGAGTGAGGGTTCAAATATTTGGTGATTCGATTTCGACGTCGATTTGAAACTTTGAAGAAAATCAATAAAAAAATACAACTTTTATACAACTTATAAATTAAATTTTGATGCAATTAGCGCTTCTTGAATAAGGCTACAAAATATATATTATTAAAACATAAAGCAACTAACGCAGCTAAGAAGAACCAATAATCTATTCAATCAAATTTAAATTTTTATATAAATTATATCGAATGCATGTTTTTTGGATAGACAAATAAAATTTTGGTTTTAAAATTTTGTAATTCATGTAACAGTCATTTTAAAAAAAGTTTTACTTTCACTATTATTTTATAAAATTAATATTTCTCTTTACGAGTGACCAAATGAACACAAGTTCTAATGAGAAAATTTAACTTACGGTGAGAACATAAAAAAAACTACTAATGGCAATAGTGTCACAAGAGTATTAAAACTTGGACGAACTGTCGATTTACAAATTATTGAACTATATTGTGGGAATATTTTACATGTTTATTAAATCGAATGAAACGAATAAAATTAAATTCGCTTGAAATTACAGTCTTAGAATAGAATCAGCTTATATCTTGAAATCAAATTATTATCAAAAATATTAAATTTAAATATTATCTTTTCTTGCATTTTTTTTGTTTAAAAAAATTCACTGAATATATCAACGAAATAAACAAAAATGAAAAAAAAAATTGTTTTCATAATTATATTCAAGAGGTCATTGTCGTCGTATCGCCATAAAACAATTCGACTGTAGTTCCAAAACATAAACTTTTTAAATGAAAAGAAAAAATTGATTATAAAACTAAAGTATACTTACAAAATTTAAAAAGTTTTGTTACCAGTGTGAATTTTAATAAACAATGATAACAAAATGATACCGTAAAGCATTTTAAGAAAATAAATTGAAAAGTGAGTTTTATAAATTTAAAACTCGATCATCGAGTTTCAAAAAATCTTTTAATAAATTCGAAAAAAACAGTAAATATTGAAAACAAACGTTTCGCTTATAATATAATTTTGTAACCATCGCAACCGATTTCCAAATGCACGATAGCGGTAGCAGGTTCTTAAAACGAAAAGATTAAAACCGAAAAAACCTTATTATAATTTTACATACAACCTACTTTTTAAAATTGTTATATTATTTTTGTTCCTACAGCCCCGGATCATTGTAACTAAAATGGAAAACACTGAGCCATCAAAAAAAAAAAAAAAAACTTTATTCAACTGTATTTTTTTATCAACTGCTTTTTAAAAGATATGGTCGTTCGACTAAACAAAAAAAAAAAATTAAAAGAGCGCCGATTTAAATGTAAATGTTTTTGATAAGATTGAACTCTTAACAAAAACTTGCTACACTTTTAATTATATTGGCAAATATAAAATTATTTAACTGTTAAAAAAATTATTACACTAAATTGCTGAATAATAATTTTTATTTTATGTAATTAATTATATTTTATATATCAATTACTTTGATATATTATTCACTTTTATTGTAGAATTTTTATTTGTTGTAATAATTCTTAAAATGCCTGCATTCTATTACAAAAAGATAATATATAACTGTTTTCATATGCAGTAAACAACGTTCGTCTAAAGAATTTTTTCATGCTGCAATAAACGACACTTGTTAAGTGTATGTTCTTGTAAACATGCATACGTTTGTTAAAAAAAAAAAACAGAAAGAAAAACGAACGTCACTTTTCTTTAATTTTGCTAATGCAAACGTTGGCGTTTGTTTAAAATTAATAAAAACGAACGTCTCACTTTAGCGTTTTTTTTCCAAATATATATGCGATTGATAGTTTTTTATTTAATATAAAAACACATATTTATAATAAAAAACAATTAGTTACTAAAATTGAAAACGCATTTTCAACGACATTAAAAGAAACAAAGCTAAAACAAGATTATTGTTATTTTTACTCTAAACCTTTTAAGAGTTTAAGTAGACTGGAAACGAATGCCGTTTTCTATAGATTTCTTTATACAACTTGAACTTTATGAGGTGAGTGGACCGCATCAAATATTTTTAAAATTACATTTCACAGTGCAGACTTCAAATTTGAATGAATTTGATGCTGTTTTGACTACTATTGAGCTGCTATTTGTTAAAGACAGATCTCAATTTTAGTTCAAATATTATACTACTTAATTTAATTTATCCTAAACAAAGTGAAGAAAGAATATTTATGCAATTGTTTTGCAAGAAACGATGTATACCACAAGGTGACTCGTGACATCTTGACCTTGATAAACAATTGATACAACAATTTAGTAAAGAATAAAAGAAATCAAAGATTATTAAAATGTAAATTATAATATTTTTTTAAAGGAAATTTTAATCAAGTTCATATATTTATATATGCCCTATAAAAAAATATAAAAATATTAATGTTAGTCTTGCTCTAAACTAAGCAGTTTTTAGTCATTTTAAGGTCCGTTTTTTTATTTCAAATATGTCATTTTAGGGCAAGGAATGAGTGATTAAATGGCGCTCAAATTTTTTGCGAGTTAGTTTAATCATATTTGAACCAAATATGATTTGGTTTTTCAAATACCAAAACTTTTTAATGTCTAAAAGATGGTTTTCAATAGCAGCAACTATGTCAAACAAGAATTGCGTATTTAAATTTAAATGAATCGGTTTTTGTTTAAAAGGCGTAAGTCACAAAATACAATTTTTCAAAAAATAAAAAAACTTAATATCAAAAAAACTTCGTATTAAAAAGATTTTTGAAAATTAATTTGAAAGTAAAAGTTACTGTTTTATAAAATTGGTAAAGTTTAATAAAGTTAAGTATTTTATTTTTAAACCATTCTTTAGAATTATTTTTAAACAAAAATATTCTTTCAAGTAGATTGACATTTGTTAAAAAGCGTTATAAATGAAAAGATTTTTTAAGTTTTCTATCAAATTATTATTTTTCAACCAGAAGTTTACTAGTAATTTATTAATAAAAAAAAGCGCAAAAATATGTTGCATTCTTCCCCTTACATGAAAGAAACCTATTTAGGATGCAAAAACATATATACTATCTCTACTGACACACACTTAACATGCACTCACCTCCTATAAAATCTGGTAGCCTACTTTTTATTAATGTTTACTTACTTTTAAAAAAAACAATTACATCCTCACGTGAAAAAATAAAGTTTACAAATTATTCTTTATAAATGTAACTATGGTAACTCTTAATTTCAAAAAACTTTTGATGCTTAAGAGGTTTTATAGGGTAGGTACACCGTATTAAAATTTTTTACATATTATGAGGGTAAAGAAAATTTAACTTTCTTGTTTAAGTCGTTTTAAAAGTAATTTCAAGCAAAGAAAGAAAATAAACTTTTTATTGAAAACCATATAAAAGTGATTTCAAGATTTTTTATAAAATACTTATATGGATTATTTCAGAAATAAAACATTGAAAAAGACTCTGCAGTCTTTTTTATAATATTTTATTTATGAAAAAGTTGAAGTGAAAAATTAAGACTTATTTTTGTTTTACTTTTTACTCCAAATTCTCTCTAGTTGTTATAACTTTGATTTTTTCAAAAAAAAAAAAAAAAAATTTCACTTGCAACAATTAACCAATGTTTTGAGAAAATATTTGTCTGGATCATGCTTTTTTTCATTGCAAACTGTACTCGGTAAGCTAATAAATCAAAACGTTATTTATAGATAACATTTATTAGCTTAAAACATAGAATTAAGTTTCTGATTGATTGAAGGCCTCATTTTCAGCCTTTATAGCCTCAATCACATGATTGGCCATGTCTAAGCTACAATAAAAGTCATTGGTACTAGGCAGTGATAGCTTGTCTTGCGTCTACTTAAAACTTCTGCATTTTTATGCAAGGTTTTTCAGCAGATGTTAGCTGCTCATCTGCCTTTTTATATTCTGCTTTGGTATGTGAAAGTGGTTAGTATGTGAAAGTGGCTGATATGTTTAATTTTTTTCAAATTCTTGAAAAGAGTTGAAACTTGGATCATATTTTTAATGTAGATCAAGGATATAAAAGAATGACTTCAGTCTGTTCAAGAATATCAAATGATAGCCACGAATTCGCTCTTACATAATCAACCATTAAAGTTGGCTGGAAAAAATTGAGAAACTTTTCTGTGAAATAAAATCTGAATTGTTTTTGCTATCAAAATCATATACATCTGTTTGAGAATACTGTACTTGCTTTTAAGCCATGCCTTCTTTCATAATTTCAGATAAAGACCGCTCTGAGTTGGCCAGAAAAAAGATAACAGTAATGGGATCTAAGTACCAGCTATGGTATTCCCAAATTTTAAAAGCTGACACTGCATCTAATTTAAACATTTTCTAATGGAGAATCTGCCAGAAAAAAGAGCTGGTCCTGTAAAGTTAATATTTCAATGAAATTTTTTATATTATCTTATCAAATAATAATGCTATTAATTAGTTTATTTATGACATTATGAAATCAAAGGCTAAACAAACTATCCTTGATTGCAGCTGTATCTGATTTCTCAGCTCTGAAAAATTGAAATATAAGTTGCCATCTTTTCCCCATCCTTTATCTTCTTTTTGTCTCAAGTTCAGGATTTGCTTGGTCAAATTATAAGGAAGCATGACATTGCGAACTCTTCAGATCAGAAAATACTTACTGCCATAATATGTGTATGGTTTTACAGCCCCAGGCTTGTGAATGTTGAGATGCTTGAATGTCGGTTCCTAAAAAATGAGAGCTAGCTCAGTAAGTTCCTGGTAGTCTTTAGTTCCTGGTAATATTGGTACTTGTTTTTATTAATAAATATTTTATATTTATTACATTAAAACTTGAACATTTTGATGGCTAGAAAAATTAACCTGAAAATATTTGAAAACACCTTCATTAACAAGTGTCATTATAAGATTTCTTGCCTCATCTGCTTGTTCTTTAAACTAAGAATGACAAATCTGTTGCAAATTGTAGTGATGGATAAACTGTGTTATCATCAACATCAACAAAAGTACATCGCCAGGTCTGCTGACCTATGGTAACTGTTGACCCATAATGTTCCAAGATTATTTCTAAAACTCAATCTAATAAAATTGAAGCCATTACTGAATAGTTTGTTGGATTAGCTCTCAGAGTTCTTTTTTTAACTTCTTAAAAAAAATTGTTTATCTGCATTTAGCACAACAACAATACTGTTTTCTTAGACAATACTGCTACCAATACATTCCAATAATGGTAGCAGTATTGTCAAAGAAAACCATTCTTACATAATCATCAAAACCAAACTCGGTCAAAATCTCCTTGATAGCCTAAACCAATTTAGACCTGTATGGGAAGAAACCCATAGAGCACCAAGTAGATGAGTAGTTCCTTCAGTTCTCACAAGAATGCAAATCCTAGCAATTGCTACATTAACATTCATTTGTAACATATTGTGGAATTTGAATTCAAATAAATATGTAAGGAAAACTTTTGATTGTAATTATTTAACATACAAGTTATAAATAAATATATGCAAGCCTTGATTAACTTTCAATAAAAGTATAACTGAATTTTTATCTTATTATGTTTGATTTTATTTAAATTAGAACCTTAATATTATCAACATCTTTGTTGATGTTATTTTTTACTCAAAAAGCATAAGTATAAGAAAGAGATCTCCAGCTGTGGTGACAAGCTTAATCAGTGTAACTGATATTTTATGGCTGTTATATTCATGCCTATAGCTAATCTCAGTCTCTTCAATAATTTTTTTTGTTGACGGCAATAGTCAATTTCTGCCTGTCAAAATTCCATATTGAACAGTGCCTGTTATTTTCTGAATTAGACGCCTGTCATTTTCTGAATTAGACTCTGTACTTGGTTTTGGAGAAAATATTTTCTTCAGCTTAAGATATCTGTTAATACATTTTGCAATGTTTCTTTAAAAGGATTACTATGTAAAAGCAATTACTCTTCTCTTATTTGCATTTTAGAACTTTTAGACTGTAAAAAAACTTTTCACATGTCTTCATTTAAAAAATTGCATTAAATACATTTAAAAAAATAACTTAACACTTTCAGTAAAAAGCAAAAACCGTCTTAAGTAAATTTATGTATTTTGATGTGATCTTCTGTATGTTTCTGAATGTAAAATACACAAATCATACTTAGTAAATTTATTTTTTAATGTATGTAAAACCATCTGGTCTTCTGCTTATTTCCTCGCGTTGCTGAAATTACAATGATACTTTGTGATTTTATTATTTGTATACTTTAACGTTTCGTTTTACTTCAAATCTCAAGAAAAATGAAATCTTGTGAAAAGCTATAAATTTCATAAAGTATTGGTTGGGTGTAACCAAGGAGAAAAAATATATTTTGAAATAAATATATATTTTTTTGAAATCACTCATGATTATACATCTTTTGAGCTTTCATACATATTTTAAATGAAACATATTGTAAAACATGAACACCTCTATATCAAGAATTGTGCAAAAATTTATGCATTTTTAAATTAAGTTTTGTTACCTGAAGAAAAATCTTTCGATAAACTCTAAATTTAAAAAAATATAGCTCAAAATACCTTTAAAAAATTTAAACTAGAAATGACTTAAACTACATCACCTTCAGCATTTATAAATAAAGCAGTAGCAAGGTGGAGTTTTTTTTTTTTTTAAAACCAAAATTTTATTTTGAAATCACTCATCCTGACACATTTATTTAGGTTGAAATCATCGTTTAAAAAAAACTTTTGTAAAATATGAACAACCCTAACATATATAAAGAGACTTGCACAAACAATTTATACTTTTTAAAATTAGGTTTCGTTTCCTTAGAGATATTTGTCAATCAACTCAAAATAAGATATATAAAGACAGATATATATATATATATATATATATATATATATATATATATATATATATATATATATATATATATATATATATATATATATATATATATATATATATATATATATATATATCTGTCGTATAATTGTATTCTTATATAACACTGGACACTGTGTGTACACCAGGGTATCTTTTTGATGCAGTATCTCAATGTGTTATCCCAAAAGGACATTTCTCAGGGTATCCCATCAGGACAATAATTTAATACACTACAACTTAATAAAAAATATTTAAATTTTTTTTAAAAACTTGCCAAACGTTGTTAAACATACCAAATATAAAAATGCAAAGTACATCATTTAGAAAACAAAAGATATAAATCATTTGTTTTGTTTTTTATAAATCAAGTCAAATGATAAAATTATAAAACTGAAAAAAAACTTTAAAATTTAAATAAACAATTCTTTATTAATGTTTATTAAAAAAGATTTAATAAAATTTAAATTTTTTTTTTATTTTATCAAAAATAAAGTAAAAATAACTATATATTTTATACTTTATTGAACACCTGTATGGTTATTGAAAATAACTCACTATAATGCCACCAGGATTTTGAACTTACCCAAAATAGAATACAAAAAGATAGATTTTTCATTGGACTTTATTGAAGGATTCTTGAATAGATTCATTATAAATTGAATAAACTTTTTATAGGGACTTTTTGAAGGATTCAGATTAACAAGAAACTTTAATAAACTATTTTGACTAGCATTAGATAATCCACAAATCATTGATAAACAACTCTTCAGCTTTTCATTGGTCATAATTTCATCACTACTTAAACAATTATAAGCATATACAGATGCACAAAATTCCATTATTGTCAAATGTGCAAACTGATAATAACATCCCAGATTCGTTTCAATCCTTTCTATAAATCCAAAAAAATATTCATTTTTATCAAAGTCACCAATAAAAGTTTGAAGCTCTTCTTTTGAAAAAATTATTTTATTTACAACAAACAATTCATATGCAATTTTACAAATATTTAAAATATATGTTTTATTAGAATCGTTTTCCATTATCTGATAAATCATTTCATTGTTTTTAATGATGTGTTTTTGTAAAAAGTATAAAAAAATGTTTGCATACAAATCTGTCATTGTTAAGAAAGATATTGTACTTATTTCTTTTGAATCACTGATAATTTTACACATAGAAGATAAATAAAAAGGAACAGATGCCATAGCTTTTGCAATTGGAGATTCCTTTAAAGTTGCATTTACAATTCTTTTTTTTCTTCCTTAACATGATTTTCTACATAATTCGCTATTCCATTTTTGTTAAACCCCATTATTTGAATGGTTAACATATCACTATGATCTTTATAAATACTTTGGTATTGATCAATTGCATAAACTCTACCAGCAACTAAATGTTTATAGTTTTGAATTTCTGCTAAAACATTAACAATTGGATATTTACATTTTAAATTTGGATTTGATAACTCATTGAAATATTTAAACTCATCTAACCCATCAATTAGAAACAGTGCAGTGGTAATACTAATATTTAAGTTACTTATAATATCTTTGTAGAAAACGCTTAGTAAATCATTTATGCTAAAAATATTTTCATATTGATTAATCCTCCTGCATTCTAAATAAAAAACAAGTTCAACATTTTTCCAAATTAAATCATTTGACCAATCAAGCAAACATTTTCTAAGCAACCATGTTTTCCCAATACCAGCAATTCCAGATACTAATATTACCGATTTTTCGTTCATAAATAGTTCACTATATGGAATTGGTGTATAATGCATTTGCTTTTCAAGAAATTCTTTTCGTTCAACACTAAAAACAGCATCCATTTGTGGCTTCGCTGCATCAACAATACATAGATCAACAAATTTATTCATTAGATCAACATTTGCAGGTGCTTTTAATAGTGGTTGAAGTTCACTAATTTTCCCATAATATTTAAGATAATATTGTTTTAGTTCAGCAGACATTCTTAACAAATCTAAATAAAACAAAACAATGTTTAGTAAAGCTATCATTATGATTTTACTGATATTCATGCTCATGACAATGACATTCATTATTACTATAACTTTATATAAACATAAAATAGCAATAAATATGTACTTGACATAAAATTTTATAGAAAAATTAAGGAATCTAAAAAATTCTTGTTAATTTGATTTTTATTGATTTAAGAATTAAGTTACGTAGGAATAAATTTATCATTTATAACAAACTTTTTTATTTGAAAAAGTTTTTGCTTAAAGTTATTACTTCAAACAAAATCATCAACTGATTTTCAAAAACTTAAAAAAAAACTATGACACTTTCGTTAAAATTATTAATAAAGAAAAAATATTTTTATTTGAAATTTATTAAAGGCTAAAGTTAAACAACTTGACAAAGTCAACAAACTTTTTTTTTTCTTAAAGTTTGAAGTCTTTTCATAACAATAACATCAAAGAATATTGTAAAAGTAAAGTACTAAAATTTCTTAACATAAAAAGTAAGTAAAATTATTTTTATTAACTTGAATTTTAATAATAGTAATTAAAATTAAAGTTAAAAACATTGAGATGTTTTGAAGAAAGTTTCATATGAAGATGATTCTCTTTATAAAGGCTGCAGAGATAAAAAAAAGTTGCATACCTAAAGGTTGGGGCAATTGAGAAGCCTCATGAAGTTGTAAGCTTTCTCAAAAAAAGGAACAAAAAAAAAAAGCTAAAGGATACTAATGTTCTTTGTTTATGAAAACAAAATACCATTCGATTTGTCTAAAGCTGTTTGTGATGTGCTCTCATTTCTAGTTTCTGCAGCAACTAATAAACTATGCATTAATGACAACAGCAGCAAAGTTCGACTTTATTAAGATTTACTACTTGAGTCAGGAAAATGAATAAAGAGTTTGTTTGTTTTTACACGCTATTGGATCATAGTCTAATAAGTGACATATAATGAAAATAGTGAAAAATAGAAAATATGTAACCCTAATGGTTAGAACTCTGAATCCTTTGTTTGTAATGCAAAACCTTATTTTCAAAATTTATTGATCACACTCTTCCTGTTATTTAAAATAAACAGGTTACTGTTCGAGATCCTCATCATTTCTCATTAGTAACTGCAATAAGTAAAATCATTCTTTCTTCTGTTGCTATAAAAATAGTTATTATTCACTATAACTTCTCGGCAGCTTAAAGTCTTACTTTAAATACTTAGATAGCAGAAGGAGAGAGTCTGAAGAAGAAGAAGCTAAAGTATAGCAACAAATTTTTTATTAATTATAATTTTTAAGTTATTCTGTTTTTTTCAGAACTGAATAATAACAATATAAATGATAAGAAAAATTTAAAAGTATTAAATAACAAAGAAGTTTAAAATATAAATAATGTTGAAGCCTAAATTATATACAACTAGTCGTTCTGAGATTAAAATAAATACATATACAACTGTTTGCCTACATCGTGAATACATTCACTTAAAGTATTACTCCACATTTCACATAACTTGCTGTGATTTATTTAATTTACAAATGTCTGATGTTGAAGGGTCTAGTGCTACCTCTAAAAATATTTTTTAGTGAGAAATTTTTTTATCACCTAGTATTATTTTATTAAACTGAAAAAATAAAGTGTATCAATAAAACCAATACTTTTCAAACTAATAAAATAATACTTACCCAATAATATACCCTATACTCCTCTTTTTAATTTTACACCAGACTACTTTTTTTAACCACACTTTTCAGCAGGTTTTCATAAAATTATTAAAAACAAATATAAAAACCTTTTTGTTTTGATCTTTTTTCTAAAAATATAAAACATTCAAAAATGAAGGGAGTCCTAAACTTATTTGTTAAGTTGTAAACTAATGACATAATGAGAATAAAATTTAGAAAAATTAGTTTCAATAAAATGCATCAATTGTCTGTTCCTTAATCTTATTTTGATGAATTTTCTGATTTTCTGAAAAATTTTCTAAAATAAAAAGGTACGATAGAAAATATTTGTGTCGCTATAGTGATGGACCAAAGGATAAGGAGGAGATTAAATGACCTTTAGATCACTAGCAGTTTAATTCAAAGGCTTGATAATAAACCTCCTATACAGATTCAATATTATTGAAATTTTACTAATCAAATGTTGTGAAAATGTTACAATCAAACAATTACAATGCCTGCTACATATAAAACCAACTGCAGAAATTATCAACATAAATTTACTATTTGAATACCATATTTATGAACATCATGAAAATTATTGATCTCCTTTCTTTCACAATAAAAATATGAACAAGTTTTAAGAAAATAAAAGAAAACTGTTAACAGACATGGCTTTAATGGTGGTGGTTTTGACAGACCTAACAGGCCAAAGGTTTAAGATCTTTGGACGTAATTCTTGAAAAAAAAAACTTTTTTTCAATTGACCAGACTACCAGTCTACATTTGATTCAGAGACAAAAATATGTTAATACTACTATTTTAGCAAGTTATTACTTTGTTAACTTTTGTTTGATTTAGTTGCTGAATGCTGTTTTGAGATGAAACTTAATAAATCCTACACAGAGGAAATAAATTAGTTTGCTCTGTCTATGCGTCACTTAAAAATAGATGTACATGATGTATTCGTAAAAAAGAATTCACTTGAAATAGAAGATTTCACTTGGATGAAAGTTTCAAATAATCCGGTTAATCAAGGATCTTGATAGGCAGAAGATTTTACTTGCTGTTACATCAGTACAAATACGGTAGTGGTGTAGTGGTAGAACGCTCGCTTCATAAACAAGTGGTTCCTTGTTTGATCCCCAACACGTCCCTAGTATTACCGCGCTCAACTCGTTTCTCCACACAGCGGCCTTGTTCATCAAGGTTCGTGTTTCGAAGTTATAGAGTTGAAAGAGGGTTATAACAACAAATAAGTAGCCTCCTCGTCTGTAGTGGCTTTCTTGGCCTTGAGGAGGTGAATTAAAATAAAAATAAAAATAAAAAAATCTGTAGAAGTGCATAAAAATCTTAAAAAAAGACACAATAGATTTTTGTGTCCAATAAAAATATCTATCACAGTGAAAAGTTAAGAGCTAAGGTTGCTATGGTTGCTGGATACAATTGTAATAAGAATTTATTTAGATAGAAAAAGAATATATTTAGATTGTTAAAATACAATATGAATATTTTTTGTATCATGAAGAAAATATTTTGCACTCATTTTTGATATGAAGAAAATTGCAACAATAATTTATAATTAAGCCATTAACATTAATTTAAATAAATATATTTTGATGGAAACTCAGCAATTGGAACACAGGGCAGAAATATTTATAAATAACCCCTACTACATCCACAAAAAAAAAAAAACTTGAATCCAATAATTAATTAAAATTTGCTTTTAAATTTTATTATATAAATATGGCACGTACCGCAGAATTATTATATAAATATGGAATGTTTATATAATATGCGGTAATTATGCGGTAATTATGCGGTAATTATGCGGTAGTGGTGTAGTGGTAGAGCGCTCGCTTCATAAACGAGTGGTTCCGAGTTCCATCCCCACCACGTCCCTGGTAGTACCGCGCTCAACTCGTTTCTCCGCGCAGCGGCCTTGTTCGTCAAGGTTCGCGTTTCGGAGTTATAGAGTTGAGAGAGGGTTATAGCCACATAATAAGTAGCCTCCTCGTCTGTAGTGGCCTTCTCGGCCTTGAGGAGGTGAAGTAAAATAAAAAAAAAAAAAAAAAAAAAAAAAAAAAAAAAATGTACCGCAGAAATTATTATATAAATATGGCACGTACCGCAGAAACACCAAAAAAAGCACATCTCAATAACATTTTTATTATATGCTTTTGAGAAAAACTGTTTTGAAAGTGTTTAGAGTTGTTTAAAATCAGTTCTTCCCAGCTAATTTGATTAATTTTTAAGAAATAGTTTTTTTGTTAAAGTTAACTGAACTTTTGTAGTTTTTTGTATGTGTACACCAAAAAACTGCATTCAATTTATCGATTGTGTCTTTGCAGCTAGTGAACCTATGAAGCTGAAATTTAGGGTCCTTATATTATTTGATCTGCTTTAAATAAAACCAGTTACTGCTAACTTAATCTTTGAGAAAATACTCGGTCCACCACAAAAACCACAAGATATGTACCCCAAAAACAACATTGATGTTTTTAAAATAACATTTTATAGGCTATACATGTGTTCTCGCTTTTTACTATATTGATTCTATGTAACCTCTTGATTCTAAAGATGTCATTGCAGTGTTTGAAACAAAGTTTGCTTTGTGTTTTTTACGTATCAAAAACCAATAACACTTTTATAACATAATAACTGCAAGAATTTTTTAAAACTTACTTTGTGTTTGAACCTAGAGCAAAATCTAAATTTTACTTGAAAGTAGTTTTTTAGTATTTAGATATGTTCTGTAAGCGAAAAATGTACTCTAAATAGTTTAACAATAATTTTTTTAATCAAATAGAGTTAGAAAAAAATAACAGAAAATGAATCCTAAAATTCAGCTCAGACAGGAAAAATTATAATCTATTCATGAAAAAAGTAAGCCTGAGACATTAATTGGGAGAAAGTTCACAGGTGCAAAGAATTTACAATTAGAAAAAGCAGTGCCAAGAAATTGATGATTACCTTACCAGTAAGGTTCTATTGCCTTCTCAGTATACTGAGAAGGTAATGTTGTTTTAGTATCTGTTTTATTATTTGTTTTAAATACACCTCCTTTCAAAACAAATTTGATTATTTATTTCTCCTCCTGAAACTACTGGCATAACTCAGTTGCTTAACCAGGTTAATAAAAATCTTTATCGTGAGTACAGAATAATTAAGAATTATCTTTTCACCCAATGCAATCAATTAATAGAGAGGGATTTATGACCATCTTAGGCAATATATAGGAGAAATGGGCATCAAAACCGGTTCTTGTTTCTAGTGCAAAAAGAGTTGGAATAACACCTTTTGAATTAAATGTTAACTTTATGCAACAAGATAAATTGAGTGAG